CATCTCAAACAAACAAACAAAAAAAATTAGCCAGTGTGGTAGCATGTACCTGTGGTCCCAGCTACTCAGGAGGCTGAGGTGGAAGGATTGTTTGAGCCCATGGGGTCAAGGCTGCAGTGAGTTGTGATCGCACCACTGCACTCCAGCCTTGGGCAACAGAGTGAGACCCTGTCTCCAAAAAACCCCAAAATCCTATTTATATCAATTTCAGAAACAGGTAAAATTAAACATTCCTGCCTAGGAATGAATACATAGGAAAACTGTAAAGCAAAGCAAAGACGCGGTATTATGAATGTCAGAGTAGTAGCTACTTCTCTGGGGAGTGAAAGGCTATGACCAGGGAAAGTCACGTGGGAGCCCTGAAGCCCCCTGCAGTGTCCTGATTCTTGACCTGGATACTGATCACATAGTATATAGCCCAGTAATGTGTAGATTTCACACTGATAACAAAAAGTAAAAGTTTACAACCTTCTAGATGCCAAAAAAGTAAATGGGAGCTATGGAAGGGGAACTAGTGTGTCGACTGCTTGGTTCTAAAGGGATGGAGAGAAAGAATCAGTTAAGAGGAACTAGACATTATATTGAAATGGGAGTATTTGAAATGGAAGAGACATGAGTTTGCAAGCTGAGGGGAAGTAGATAATAGGGAGATTCTGAAACGACACAGTTAATGGTACAATTTTCAGAAGGTGTGAGCGGAGGCGGCATCCGCATTCAGGGGCAGTTGCGTGTTGTAGGCCTGCAGGTGGGATGGGCGTGGGAGCCGCTAGGAGAGCATGTTGGGAGATTGACAGTTCCCATCTGAGGTCTCAGTTTCCAGTGTCTTCACTGAAGTGGGAAGGAAGATTGAGAGAGAGATGCAGGCTGTGCATGCTAAATGATTTCCTGTGACATTGACGTCAGGCCTCATTGAGACAGACTCGGCAGCTCTGTTCATTCAACAGTTTGTAAGCACTTAATTTGTTAGAAGTGGGCTAGATAGCTGGGGCTTATGTGCAAGTTGGAGAGACAGACAGATCTTCAGTGTAACGTGTAACTTTTGAGATTACAGTCAGCACCACTCTACAGTTAGGGATTCCTGAGTGACTTAGTGACATGGGCTCTAGACTTTAGTGTAGGGCTGTATGAAAGGTTTCCAGGCCACCACTTTTGAGGTTATGGTACTGACAGGATGTCCCAGGCAACTGTCAGCCCAGGCCTGAGAAGGCCATGACCTGTCATGTCTTTGTTCTTGGTTCCATTGCATTTGCTGCTTTGTAACTTAACTATGACTGTGTTTTTCCAGGCATCCGGCTCCAATTCGAGGATTTTGGATTGTCCCTGACATTCTGGGCCCCACGATGCTCTGCGTCACCAGTACCTATGAATGCCTCATCAGGCCTTTACTGTACGTCCATTTTCTATTCTCCGCACAGCTCTCACTAATTCTGCAGTTGAGAAAATGCACTCAGTAACCAACTTGAAGCTATACAAAAGTGTGGTTTATGCTTTGGCTTCTGACTTGAGGGTTGGAAGGATAGATATTTCTGTTCCTGCCATCTCTGTAAGGTTTCATTTTAGGCATGGTTTCTGGTATCCCCTGCACCTCGCTGAGAGTCAGGAGCTTTTCTTCAGAGTGTGGGGAAAAAATACTAAAATTGAATACCAAATTCCGTTATCAGTATGAGTAATAATTCTCAAGCTATGACCATGTGCCAAGCTCAGAAGTAAGCCATGTGCCTGTACTGCCTCCTGGAATCATCAGGGCAGCCCTGTAAGGACAGTTCTGTCATTTCCATTTTATAAGAGTAGAAGCAGGGATCAAGAGGTTAGTAAATGCTAAAATGACAGGTAACAAAATAGAGTTGGGATACAGATGCAGATCTCATTGACTCAGAAGCCCATACTCATACTCTTTAATTTCTCCATCTCTGCCAGCCTGAGGGACATTGTACAATGTGTAAACTGGAATGAAGCTGAACTCGGGCTGGGTGCAGTTGTGGGTCACACCTGTAATCCCAATGCTTTGGGAGGCCCTGAGTTCGAGACCAACCTGGGCAAAATAGTGAGACCCCCATCTCTACAAAAAACAAAAAAATTAGCCAGGCATGGTGGTGCACACCTGTAGTCCTAGCTACTCAGCTGAGAGGATTGCTTAAGCCCAGGAGTTTTAGGCTGCAGTGAACCATGATCATGCCACTGCACTCCAGCCTGGGTGAGAGCAAGACCCTGTGTCTTTTAAAAAAAAAAAAAAAAAAGCTGAACTCTTAGTCCTTCTCCTTTAAGGAAGTCAGACAAGTAAGCTGTAATCGCTGTCTTCCTTTTCCAACAGCCTTGGAAGATCATTCTGAGTTGTATAAATGCAGGAATATGAGTACCAAAAACAAAAGTCACTGGAGCTTCAAACACTAGACACCACCCCCACCCCTAAACACCCACAGTACATTAGTAAAATAAAACCTAGTCACACTGGCTTACTTCAGAATAAATATAAATCCCAAAGAGAAAAAATAAACATTAATTGTCTGGATACTTTTTTTTTTTTTGAGATGGAGTCTTGCTCTGTTGCCCAAGCTGGAGTACAGTGGCATGATCTCAGCTCACTGCAACCTGTGCCTCCCAGGTTCAAGCGATTCTCCTGCCTCAGCGTCCCTAGTAGCTGGGATTACAGGCGCACACCACACCCAGCTAATTTTTATGTTTTTAGTAGAGATGAGGGTTTGCCGTGTTGGCCAGGCTGGTCTTGAACTCCTGACCTCGGGTGATCCACCCACCTTGGCCTCTCGAAGTGCTGGAATTACAGGTGTGAGCCACTGCGCCCAGCCAATTATCTGGATACTTTCAGATCATATTTCTGCTAGCTCCCTGAAATAGAAGTTGTCTATAAAGTAATGCTATTTGACGAACTTTCACTTTTTTTTTTCTTTTTTCTTTTTTGAGACAGGGTCTCACCCTGTCACCCAGGCTAGAGTGCAGTGATGTGTTCTCAGCTCACTGCAACCTCCGCCTCCTGGGTTCAAGCGATTCTCATGCCTCAGCCACCCAAGTAGCTGAGATTACAGATGTGTGCCACCACGCCCAGCTAATTTTTATATTTTTAGTAGAGACAGGGTTTTACCACGTTGGCCAGGCTGGTCTCGAATGCCTGACCTCAAGTGGTCCACCTGCCTCAGCCTCCCAAAATGCTGGGATTACAGGCGTGAGCCACCATGTCCAACCAAACATTCACATTAGAATTGTTGCCTTCAGAGTAAATCAGTTGCCATGCTGCTAAAGTTTGTGAGATCTTTTAAGCTCTTTCTGAAGTTTGAGTATTTGCACTTGAGTGAATAGTTTTTAGAAATCAAATTATATAGAACCAATGTGGTATACACAGCAGTTTCCTGGCTTAATACTGGTTTTGATCAACTCTAAACCTAACAAGTAATTTATGTTTGTGGCTCTGGCTTATAAACTGGCTCTCAAGTCCTTTGCCAAGAATGCATGCTAGGTGTTTGTGCTGCCTTAATCTTTTAGAAAAGAACCAGAAATGGCAGTCAGAAATGCTTTGACAAATTAGGGGCATTGGAAGAATAAGGGTGTAGCTTCCCAAAGTGACCTTTTTTAGGTGGCAAACATGCATTCTTGCACTTTTACAAAAGTAACACCTTATTTTATATTCTGAAAGTTCTGGATTAATGTGGTTTCTGCTTTCCTGTAATACAGTAAATCGCTCCATGGTAGAATTCAATTTACTTCTCTATTTTGCAGAAGTACAGTCCATCCAGCGTCTCCTCCCCTTCTTTGTACTCGAGAAGATGTTGAAGTGGCAGAGTCTCCCCTCCGTGTTCTGGCTGAAACCCCAGATTCCTTTGAAAAGCATATTAGAAGCATTTTGCAACGTAGTGTTGCCAATCCAGCATTTTTGAAGTATGCAGCCTTGGGCATAGCAGTTTTATGAATGGGTTCTCTTCTGTCTTCATAATTACTGTGCATCCTTTCTGTCCTCATCTGTTTCATACACTTTTTACTGTGAGGGATTTGGAAGAAACTGGATATATTTAATCAGCTAGCGAATGGGAAACAGGGGGGAAGTGGCACCTGAGAATGATAAACAGGAAGTGTTTAAAAAGAAGTTAGGGTGGGTCAGGCGCGGTGGCTCACGCCTGTAATCCCAGCACTTTGGGAGGCCAAGATGGGCGGATCACGAGGTTAGGAGATCGAGACCATCCTGGCTAACACAGCAAAACCCCATCTCTACTAAAAATACAAAAAAAATTTAGCTGGGTGTGGTGGCATGCGCCTGTAGTCCCAGCTACTTGGGAGGCTGAGGCAGGAGAATAACTTGAACCTGGGAGGCAGAGGTTGCAGTGAGCCGAGATCATACCACTGGACTCCAGCCTGGGCGACAGAGCAAGACTTTGTCTCAAAAGAAGTTAGGCCGGGCACGGTGGCTCACAGCTGTAATCCCAGCACTTTGGGAGGCCGAGGCAGGCAGATCACCTGAGGTCAGGAGTTGAAGACCAGCCTGGCCAACACGGTGAAACCCCATCTCTACTAAAAATGCAATAATTAGTCAGGTGGGGTGGTGGACACCTGTAATCCCAGCTACTCGGGAGGCTGAGGCAGGAGAATCGCTTGAACCTGGGAGGCGGAGGTTGCAGTGAGCCGAGATAGCACCACTGCACTCCAGCCTGGGTGACAGAGCGAGACTCCATTTCAAAGAAATAAATTAAAAATATAAAAAGTTTACAAAGCACCTGTGACTTGAGTCTATTTTCAGTTGTTTTATACTCAGCTAAGGAAAATAAAGGTAGAAACTTTGTTTTTAAGAGCTTCTGAAAAGGACCTAGCCCCTCCTCCTGAAGAATGCCTTCAGCTCCTCAGCAGAGCCACCCAGGTGTTCAGAGAGCAGTACATTCTCAAACAGGACTTGGCCAAGGAGGAGATTCAGCGGAGGTATGATGTCCTGTGCTCACAAACCATCGATCCCTGGCTGGTAGCTGATGCTGTGTTATAGCCTAGACCTGGCTTCTGAGTAAACTCTATTCCTTTTTGTTCTTGAAGGGTCAAATTATTATGTGACCAAAAAAAGAAACAACTAGAAGATCTCAATTATTGTCGAGAGGAGAGGTAAGTGTCAAAATCAAGAAGAAAACAATAGGTCAGTAGGACTGGAACCATATTCTTACCCTAAGATGCTGAGCCACATTAATTGGTTTCAACATCAAGGTATGGACCTCAAGAGTCTCTTGTTTCTTATATCATTAGGAAAAGTCTGCGGGAAATGGCTGAGCGTTTAGCTGACAAATATGAGGAAGCTAAAGAAAAACAAGAGGATATCATGAACAGGTCAGTGGGCTGTATAACATTTAGTTACCTACTCGGGCACTAACAGTGATATTTAAGAAAATGGGCATTGGCAGGTGCTTACATACCTACAAAATTGAACTGATCCCCCTACCTCTCCTCTGAAGAATATGCTGGGGAAAACATGAGGCTCTCCCCTAACACTTTTTATGGGGCCTACTTCAGAGACACCAGATTCATGAATTATGAGCTTGTGATTATGTTTCTCCTAATTAGCAGAGACCTTAACTTGAGATGTTTGCTTGCCTTTTCTAAAGGATGAAAAAAGTACTTCACAGTTTTCACTCTGAGCTCCCAGTTCTCTCTGATAGTGAGCGAGACATGAAGAAAGAATTACAGCTGATACCTGATCAACTTCGACATTTGGGCAATGCCATCAAACAGGTAGGAATAGATCCAAACTAGCTAAATTTGGTAATTTTTCTTAAAGCACTTATTCTACAGAAAATTTTACAAAAATGTAAAAAGAACAGATTCAAATAGATAAAATGTGTGGCAAACCACTGCCAAAATATCTATTTTGATACTTAAGGTTACTATGAAAAAGGACTATCAGCAGCGAAAGATGGAGAAGGTGTTGAGTCTTCAAAAACCCACCATTACTCTCAGTGCCTACCAGCGGAAGTGCATTCAGTCCATCCTGAAGGAGGAGTAAGTAAATACTTCCAGTCAGCTATTACCGCGAGATAGTTTTTCCTTTACAGTATGCCAGTCAACCTGTCTTAATAGAAACCTGGATCTTGGTATTTGCATGTCAAGTAATTACTGGGACGAGAGCCACATGATACATAGGGGCTTAAGAAATGACTATGGTGGGAGGACTGAAAGTGATGACCTTCTAGTAACATGATTTTGTTGTGTGGCCAAAGGTATTTTACAGTAATTATATTCAAAAGTATTTCCAGTACTTGCACCATTTGCCATCTTAAATGAACAGTGAACACTATTGCTATCCATCTGAAACCTTCAGCTGTTAATTTTAGCAAAGCAGTTCTTAGATATTTCAACATTACCAGTTTGAATTCTTAAGAATCCATATAAATGGTTTATTATATTTCCAAAAGTGAGTGACTTTACAATTTTACAGGGGTGAACACATAAGGGAAATGGTGAAGCAAATCAATGATATCCGCAATCATGTAAACTTCTGACACCACCAGGAGCTGACTCACACCTGAAGTGAACACCACTGAAGGCTTAAACCCATATTGTAAAACAGGTAGCATTATCTAATTTATAAAAAGGCATTTTGGATGACCTTTGGTGTGGTTGTTCATCTTTTTAAATATTTTGCTTTATAATTATTGAATAAATGTTTTTATTTAAAATTTGGATTGTGCTTTATAACTCAAGCCTACAGTTGTGTTCAGCAAGGAGTCAGGGTTATTTCACACTGCACACGGCCAGAACCTCCCTGAGCCTGTTGAGTGTTCTCCGTATCTGAGCAAGGTATTCCTGTGAGCTGTGTTTTAAAGTAGCGCACCAGAAACATGACTCTGAGAGGGACAGAACCTAGGATTCAAAGGAAAAGACCACACAGTGTACTCGGCAGCAGCTTTTTTAATGTGAACACTTTCTTCTTAAGGACACACCTTCAGTACAGTTAACAAATGGTTACACCTGAAATCTGCTGAGAGCAGAGCTCAAGATCCACAATTGCAAAGGCCACTGCTGGCTCACTTCCTCACAGGCTGTATTACCTTCCAGAGCTGAGTGAGGCTGTGCTCTACCTCCTAACACTTGTTACTGAGTGGACATGAGGTGCAGGTTTAGCACCTTAAAGGGAGAGAAAAAGAAATAGGTTAGTATGCAGAATGTGATTTTGTCCTCACTTCGCCTTAACTCATCTTTTTATACTTGCCAATGTGAGTTCTGAAAGGTAGTACTATACCTGCTTAGAAATGGCTGAGTGACTGCCAATTAAAAGCCACATGATAAGGTAGGTTACAGGTAAGAGGTAAATCAGGTTAGACATGCATGAGAACATGTGTGCACAGACTGAATATAAGCACAGGAACACTCAAGAAACCCAACTGATCTTTTCTTTCACCTTCTAAATCAGTTCCCATTTACGCTGAAAACCCAGTGGAAAGAATTGTTTCCCACCTGGACAGTGACACAGTAGTTTGTTGCATACCAGAAGCACATTGTTAAACAAAACTTAGAGTCTCAGTTTGGGTTTTTCTACAGTATTTTTCTCAATGAAGTGAATTCCAGCAGTTTGCATTTGTCACAGTAGAGACCACTAACCATTCCCTAATTGTGATGATTTTATTACCCAGTACTGTCTTCTGGAGAAAAATATCTGTAAGGTGCTCAGTCTCAGCAGAACACTTCACTGCAAGCTCTAGTTCAGTCAGTTCAGAAAGGCTGTGAACTGCCCACCCTGATTTGCAGCACTAATTTTAATAATCTGAAGACAAATTCGCTTGGGGCTTATCCAAGGGACTAGTCTTAAACCTACGTAATTTAAATTGATTGCATTTTATAATTAATAAAATCCCCTGTAACTCAATAGTTATATGTTTCCTTTATCTAAACCATATAGCACTCTTTATAAAGGGATTTCAAACCAATTTAAATAATGTTTCATGCGCGGCAAGCCTTTAGTACTATTTCCATAATTAATATTTATTTTTAAATTCATAATCATGAATGCAAGACTACAATAATAACCCAAGAGATGAGGTATGTAGTACTTATCATTTGTCCTATGGAAGACAGACGTACAGGAGTAAAGATCTTTAGGGCAAGTCCATAGTGACCTCATTTATAACAGACAATTCACTTTAAGTTGATGGTGGCTTTATGTGAACAAAACAATCTACCTAGTTCACTAACTCCCAGAAGCCTTCTTTCAGGTACCTTACTGTTATGCAACCAATCTCAAAAATGATTTGAAAACCATTTTACTTTTGAACCTCCTGGATGATGATCCATCCAGTGGATCTTCCTGGGACAGTACTCTCAGCAGGTATTGGTGAACGTGAATCAATCCTTTGTGCTTTCTGTAGCACTTCATAAAGTTATGGCAAAGACCTGTTTCACGGAGGCTTTCTTCCCACAGGAAAGGAATCTAATGCTTGTAAAATGGCAAGGCAGATTTCCAGACTGATCAGTATTCTAACTGGCTCTCCATAAGCATTGTCCCTTACATTCCAGGTCTGGACTTAAAAGAAAAATACAAAATATCTGTCAACCTAGTTACCATTTTTGTATTTGACACATTTGAAACAAGTAGTATGTAAGCCTAATGATCCAAGTTGAAAAATAAGCAGATTTATAAATGTATACTAGAGGTTCTCAGACAAAGCTTGTTTTATTAATGTTTTTCACTGATCCAATAACTAGACTAAAACACTTCAAAAGAGTAGATGGTACCAGTTCGGCTTTATCCTGGTACCTGTGGGCCCATGAAGATCATCTAAGTATGCAGAAAAAGTGCTTCCCAAGTTTCTTGTGCTTTTCCTTTAACCTTCAGCTTCCAGTATATATAGCCCTAGCCAAGTTTTCAGATCCTCATCATTAATTCACTTCCTGAATTGGTTTTGTTTGCCACAGTCCTATGGTTCTCAGGTAAGTTTCAGTAGCATTTAAGGTCCTCCAAAGCAAGATAAAATGGTAAAAGGGAAACAAAAATGTACTGAGTGAGGGAAATACAGTCAGTAGCCAATGGCCTGCTCCAAACCTTCATATTTTAATATAAAATATTCATACAGCATACTACACTTCTGTCTGTTAACTGAATACTGTTACTGATGAGCTCTAGACAACAGATAAAGCAAATTCTCTTCCAATATCTATGAACAGAAAATTCCAAACACTACTGGGATGTCGCTTTAGGGTAGGGAAATGTGTTCCAAAAATCTATGTTGGAGAAAGCAGGCAAGGAAACAGCACTTTTTCCATCACCGAATCTGATCCCACGCCTGTTGGAATCAAGCCTGGCGTTATCAGTGTTCGCATTTGAAGGTCTCTGGGCTGCAGATCACCCCGTTTGCTGTTTCCTGTGCC